CTATGAAGAGAAAACACAGTTAATGTTTTGAGTCCAGTGACCATTCAACACTGAAAAACATTGGCTTGCTTTCCATTTAGAAGTATCAGAATTTGATTTTTTTTTTCTTTTGCTTAGTGGAAAACCCATAGATTGTAAAGCTTTTGGTTTCAATTTGCACAAGATCTGATCAAAGTTAGACATAAAATCAGTTTCTCCTGGAGAATGGAATTAGCTCAGAACAGTTAGGTAATAGGTTACCTTGGTGTAAGGCTTTTAGTTTGAAAATTCCAGACCTGAACTGTTTGGTTAGAACCCTAAATAGGTTATTTGATGCAAAGAGTTCAGTTGTGTCACAATCAAGGGAAGGCTACAAAATTTGCAAAACTGGAAATTAAAAGAAACAGATAAGTCAAACTTATAGCTGTGATAGAATATCTCCCTCTACAGATGCTGCAAGACCTGCTAGTTTTTGAGTCCTGCAAAGTGATGGTTTGGAATAGATACAATTGTATTTTTACCATGTGTTTTGAAATCTTCCAAATTGTGTAATATGTAAATAGATCAGATTATTTTACTTTGACTTCATTCCTTTTGCATAATAAACTTCTGTTTATTGCTGAAATCTGCAGCATTGCATGCTTATGTTTCAGTGTAAGATCATTTTGTTAAATTAAAAGAAATCTATCAAGCCAGATTGTCTAGGATCTAACTACTCCAATAATAACATCAGCCGGGATTATAACACATAGGACAAGCTCACAACCAAAGAGATGGTTTTGGAATGAACACCACACAGGTATGGAGGAGCATACATCATCTAATATTTTATTGCTGAGGTATCTGAACTTGGAGGAGTACTGGAGGACAGCTCTATGATGAGCTCTGGTCTCATCCATTAATAAGCTAATGACAACGCATAGACAAACAGGGAATGTCTGGTAGAGGTACTAGTGATCATGCACATACTGGAGCAGAAGTCAGAGGAGTTTTACAAGTTCTGCTTGTTGTTGTGGCTCTGGCTGCTCCATGAAATGGGTGACAGCCACCAAGGGGTGCTAGGTCCAGGAGAGTAATCAGTATCTGCTGGATACACGAAGTTCCTCCAACATCACCAGAGTTATGGAAGCATTCATTTGTTGGCAAAGTGAAAGGGGCAAAGTGACCTTAATATTCATCCAGATGCCAGTCCTCATAAGGGGTGAGAAGGGTGTCATTGCATATCAAGAGGCAGAGACAGTGACAGATGAGCACCCAGAACATCACAGGACTCTCTAGAGGTGTGCCACTGCTCCTCCTCTCTGCCAAAATGTCTTCATCCGTTTCAGCCAAGGAGGCTGCATCTGCATCTGCACAAGGGGTGCTCAACAGGTGGGACCACAGAAGGCACCCACAAAACTCATTGGAAGCATACCAGCAAAGCGGTTTGCAAGCTTCCTCGGCTCAACAGTTTCGAGATGGCACCAAGATGTAGTTGTAGAGGAAAGAAAAAGAGATTACACACTGAAATCATGTTTAGTGCTTGGATGTGAAACTTTCATACAACTTGACATTTTACACAAATGTATCTCCTTCTTCCAGAGTTCTCGATCTCTTTCAAACTGTTAATGCTTCTTACTATTTCTATTTTCCTTGTAGACTATCTCGAAGAGTGCTGATCAACATACACTCTAACATACACATTATGTTGAGCAGTGCAAAGTATCCTGAGGCTGTCATTTTCTGTTGCCTTCTGGAAGGAACATAACTTCTGGAAAGCAGGAACTTATGATGACTTGATCAATAGGTAGACTTAAACGATGTATAGGTTAGCTCCTTTACATCTCTCTAATAAATAAATCCTTTTGCAAACTGAAGTTTAAGTCCTTTGTGCCCCATGTAATTTTTAAAAATTCATTCATGGGGTGTACGAGTCACTGGCTAGGCCAGTATTTTTTGTCCATCCCTAATTGACCTTGGGAAGGTGAGGTGACCTGCCTTCATGAACTGCTGCAGAGCATGTGATATAGATACACCCACAATGCTGTTAGGGAGATAATCCTAGGATTTTGGACCACCAACAGAAATTGTAACAATATAGTTCCAACTCTGGTTTTCTCTGACTTGTTGGTGATGAATGTTACTAGCCATTTATCAGTCCAAACCTGAAGGCTTTCCAGTTCTTGTTGCATTTGGACACAGTCAGAAATCACATGACACCAGGTTATAGTCCAACAGGTTTATAGATACAGACTGTTTAAGTAAATGAGTTTAAATAAGAACTGAAATTTGTGCAATCATTAGCGAACATCCCAACTTTGATGTTATGATGGAGGAATGGACATTGATGAATCAGCTGAAGGTGGGTGCATCTAGGACATCACCCTGAAGAACTCCTGCAGTAATGTTCTGTGGCTGAGGTAACTGACATCCAACAACTATAAACATTTTTCTTTGTAATGTTCCAACCAGTGGAGAGTTTTCCCTGATTCCCATTGACTATAGTTTTGCTCCTTGATGTCATATTTAGATAACTGCAGCCTTGATGTCTAGGCCAGTCAACTCCCCTTGAGTTCAGCTCTATTTTCCATGTTTAGACAAAGGTGTTAATGAGGTTATGAACTTAATAGGCCTGGAGGAAGTCAAACTGGTGTCAGCAAGTAGATTATTGTTGCATAGGTGGCACTTCATAACACTGGCGATGACACTTTCTATCACTTTGATAATTGAGTAGACTGGAGCAGTAATCGGCTTGGTTAGATTTGTCTTGCATTTTGTAGACCAGACATGTCTGAACAATCTTCTGCAATGCTGGCTAGGTGCCACTGCTGTGATTGTATTGAAATAGTTTGTCTATGGGCACAGGTAGTTTGGAAGCACAAATTCTCAGTACTACTACTACTGGAGGTTGACAGGGCCCATTGCCTTCTGCAGTGCTTTCAGCCATTTTTTTGATAATAAGGAGAGTAAATCGAATTGTGTGAAGGCTGACAGCTATGATGCTTGGGATCTCAGAAGGAGGTTGAGATCGATCCTGTTTAACTTTATACTGATACCCTAGCCTTATAGCATTCCTTGTTCAAATCTTCTGGTCTTTCACCCTCCCAGGCACACTTAATTATGCTAGTGTGTTCCCCACCCAAGCGTACAGCACCCATTCTTCTTCATTCCCCCGGCCCTACCACTGTGATTCTCTCCTCTGTATCCCAGTTTCCTATCTTTATTTCCCAGGATTCTTCCAGTGTTCCAGATAACCCTTGAGTTCCTCTTTAAGTTGCATTTCCTACTGTCCCTTTCTAGCTAACTCATCTTTATTTGAACCCATTTAGTTGAGCCCCTTTTTGAGTTAAGTCCCACTTCCCCTGCCCTAGTCAGGTTTGCTGGAGTCAGCTAGTGTGGCTGCCTTGTTTGGACAGGCTTGTTGACTTGGTCAAGCTTCTCCCTTACACAAAGTGTTTAACAACAAGTCAGACTGCATAAGGCTGAGACTTTTCATGAGCTGGTTGACACCCTGGGTTGTTAATGAATATTCATGCCATGGTGAATGTAAAAGAGACTGACCCAAAAATACTTTGAGAACTTAATAACAAAGCTTTCACTCAATTTCAACAAGCCAAACTTTTGCCTACCACCCAATTAAAGTCCTCGCACCTCTGCTTCTAAAAGCTTTGGGCAGGTCTCGAAGATTCTGCCCTTATGAACTGCAGAGCTACAAATTGGGAGAAATGTTGGAACTTATATTTAAAATGATGGATTTACAGACAGCTATGACAGAAATCCACCAAATGGTGGAAGTTTCCCATTCCTGAGAGTTTCCAACCCAGAAACAACAATCTCTCAGCTTCTACTCTACCAAGCCCTCTTAAGCATTTATACATTTCAATGAGATTAAGTCTCATTTTTCTAAACTCCAATGTACGGAGGCCTATTCCACTCTATCAAATGCTTAGTTCAGCCATTTCCATTTGGTGTGGTTGGTTCTGCGCCTTTTAAATTCAAGATTACTATACATGACATTACCTTCGCTGAAGCCCAACCATCAACATCCTGCTGGTTACCATTGATCAGAAACTTCTCTCCTGCGCCCACTACTGAAATTAAGTGGTGCTACAAGAGCAGGTCAGAGGCTAGGAATCTTGCAGCAAGTAACTCACCTCCTGACTCTCTCCAAAGCCTGTCCACCCAAGATAGAAGTCGGGAGTGTGATGGAATACTCCTCACTTACTTGGGTGAGTTCAACTCTAATACTCAAGAACCATGACACCATTTAGAACAAAACAGCCTGCTGAAATGGCATCACATCCATTACCTTTAACATTCACTCTCTTCACCATCAACATACAGTGCCAGCAGGGTTTACAGTACTATTTACAAGATGCACTGCAACAACTCAGCAAGGCTTCTTGACAGCACCTTCCAAACTCTACCACCTAAAAGAACAAAGACAGCAGATTTATGGGAAGAGATAGTAGGAACTGCTGATGTTGGAGAATCTGAGATAACAAGGTGTAGAGCTGGATGAACACACATGCCAAGCAGCATCAGAGGAGCAGGAAAGCTGACATTTCGGGTCTAGACCCTTCTTCAGAAAAAAAAAACAGCAGCTGCAGGATTCCCTCTAAGCCACTCACCATCCTGACTTAGAACTTTGTTATTTCTTCACCATCAGAGTTAAAATCCTGGAACTCCCTCTCAAACAGCACAGTGGTGTACTGAGCGTGCCCCCCCTCACACCCCACCAACACTCCCACCCGCACACCATCCTCTCCCAGAATTGCAGCGCAAGATAACCTCTCAGTGTCACATTAGAAATGGACAACACGAAGCAGATTTGTTAGTGACCCACTCAAAGGAATTAATAAACTAAACCATTAAATTCACGAAACGCAGAAGTATCAGACATTGCTAGCAAATGGGGACAACAGCAGGCAAGCTGAGTTAAGTTAAAATCATCTCTAAAAGGGTGACAAAGGAATAAACATTTCCTATTTACAAATTACGTGACTAGCAGTATAAATGTATAAACGGTAGAGAAATCTTACCCTCACCTGCTGTGGACTTTGCTGCGGTACACTTGGTGCAATCCTGGTAAAGTGAGGAGTTGTCGTTGCCACTGGTTCTGGCGCTGCTGTTTGCACCTCCAATTGTACCTGGCGTTCCTGAACAACTGGCTAGAAGACAGAACAGATTCAATTTTTAAAATGCTATAAAATCCTGCGTTTTCAGGGATTACATTCCTAGAAAATACCTTAAATGGTTATTTTCATAAACAGTGAACATGGCAGATGACACACATGAGCAGTATGCACTTTCTATCCCAGGGAGTTTTCTTTTAATTTTTTTCTTTAAAATTACAGATAGTCGAAGATTAGATTTGTAGTGGGAAATATGGTAGACAGTAAGTTTCGAGCAAAAGACAGACATGCAAGAAAGGGGAACTGAATGTGGTGAAAATGATAGAATCTAGAACCCTACTGCCCTGTCTCCTAATTTACAAGGCGTGCCTCCTGAACAGAGGACTAGCAACAGCTGTATTTTAAAATTTTCCACATTTGAGTTCAAAGCTCATCATGGCCTCACCTCAGTTCACTATATCTGTAGCCTCCTCTATTTCCAATCTTACCTTTCAGCTCCTAAATTCCTCCCTGTCTACATAACCTCCTCCAGATCCTACAACCTTCCCTATCTATGTAACCACCTACAGCTATTACAGACCTCCCTATCTCTGTTACCAATATCAAATCTTCCAATCTCTGTAACCTCCTTCAATCCCAATAATCCTCCCCCACTCTCTGACCTCCTCCAGCTCAAACAACCCTCCATATCTCTGTAACCTCCTACAACCCTCCATGACCTCTCTGCTCCTCCAATTCAGGCCTCTCAAGCATCTCCTAATTTTAATGGCTCCACCATTGATGGCTGTGCCTTCATCACCTGGGCCCCTAACTCTGGAATTCTCTCTGTAAAACTTCCACCTCACTCTGTCATCCTAAGATCTCAATACATAGCTCACTATTCAATTTTGTTTTAGATACCAGATATTATGAACTGCCTTGAGAAATTTCACTTTGTTCAAGATGATGGGCAGTATCTTTTTGGGGTCTGAAAGTGGGCTGTGGCAAGAAATTTGGCAGAATCACGAGAAGTCCAGCAAGGCCTACCTTGAAGTAGAACAACTCAACGCACCTTTTAACAAAGTTCCAGGCATTGAGACACGATTCTCTATAGGCAACAGTGAGTTATAGGGAATTATTGCTTGCTAACTACCCTATTAACCGCAGATCTCACCTTATAATATACCACATGCAGTGAACAAACTAAAAGTTGAGAATTGTCAACATGAAGCTTAGAGCAGATACGTTGTGACTTTGGCTTTCTGCTTGCTCAATACAGCCTCCACGTTGGACACCATGCACCAACATCTCAGGGCACGGTCCATGGGCACCAGCCATACATGTAAAACGGTAATAAGCCGCAAAAATGTAGTACCTTTAATGTAGTAAAACATCCAAAGGTGCAGCACAGGAGTCACCATGTCACATTAAAAAAAAGTTTGATCAAACTGGAGAGTTGAATATATAAGTGCCAATGATGGGAACAGGATTATCACAGAATTAAAGGACAGTGCAGATTTTGGAGGATTACGAGCTGGAGGAAATTACAGAGAGAGGGTCAGTTGTGATCATGAAGGAATTTTAAGAAAAGGATGAGCTTTTTAAAATGCTGGACCTGAAGCCAACAGAGGGAGCAAACATGGGCAAATGTGATTTGATGGGAGTTAAGGATATCACACCGTCATTCCTAACATATAGAGAATGAGCAAGGCAGGGGGCTGACATGGGGCAGGGGGATGTATGAGCTGAAAGAAGAAATAGTGGGCAGATGCTTGATGCTGCGAGATCAGGCAGCAAGGTGGAACAACCCAGCTACAGGTTACAGGACATACTTTCTATCTGATTTCATGTACTTACATTGAATGTTAGGTGCTGTGACTTGGGTGAATTTGGCACCGCAGGGACATTAGGACTTTGCATTGCCCCAGCACTCTCTGTAGTTTGTGGTGAAGTGTCACTGGTCCAGTTGCCTGCAGTTGGATCCTCCATACTGAAAAATTATTTTAAAAGAAAAGCAACAGGTTTAAAAAACTTTCCTGTCCTATGCTGCTTCTAAATGAAGTTAATCTTCACAGAATTGTGCTTTAATGGAAAACAATAATTTACTCAAGAAAACCTCACTTTGAAGTGCAAGTTCAACAAGACTTTTGTACATCATAACTTGCAGAACATGCAATATCTTGCTTACTAATATGAATAACACACCGCACACTGCATGGCATTGGTATACTGTAAATGTTTCAGTTGCCCAATTACCACTCACTCAGAGCTTGAATCTTCTCTATCACTGGTATCCTCCTTTTGGTTCATCATCTTATTTTGGGTATATTCACTCTTGAATTTTATCTTCCCCTTTCCCAGCTGCTGTGTAATTCTTTTTGAAATGTTGTATATCAAGCTTAAGGTGCATGTATCGCTTTGCCAAATGTTACAGGTCACCCTTTGGATGAGTATCACTGTTCCATGAGTTGTATATCAGCCTCATAGATGTTGTATATCACTGTCAGGTCTGTATCACTGTTGTAGAGGAATATGTGCTTGTCAGAAGTTGTAGACCTCTCTAGTATATCTGACTTCCTCAGATGAATATGTCACAGTTTCAGGTATATGTCACGGCTTCAGATGTATACCCCTCCTTCAGTTGTAACTTACACTCTCAGGCATACAATCAGTCCTTCAGGTGTATAGCACTCTCAAATAGTGTATATTTCTGTTTGGGGCTATATCACTCTCAGGTTTATATCCCTCCCTCAGCATGTATCATTTTCTTATGTAGATGACACTCCTCTCAAGTGTTGAGAGACTTGCCTCTCAAGTATTCTTTCATGTGTGTATACACCTCTCAGGTATTATCTCTAGCTTTCTCTGCTACATTTTTTCTCAAGTCTTTTAAAAGTGCTGTTTCCTTTTACAGGGTTTCCTACCTCTCTCTCGGTTGCAGTATTGTTTTACTTTCCACGCTATTTTCTCTTTTCAGTTGTATACTCTTCTTTCAAATGCGTTTCCCCCACTCTCAAGTTATTTCCACTCTCCTCTCGCAACTGCTATGTGCTCCTCTGTTACATCGCACTCCTGTATTAGGTGAAAATACTTCACTCAGGTAATGTAAACTACTTCTGCCTGAGTTGATTTTGTCCCCCAAAGGTTTGTGTATTCTTCTGACAGGTATTCTATGGCCTCCTCTCAGATGTAGTAGCAGATTCTGTGCTTGCGCCTGTGAATGCTGCACTGTCAGCTGGTGTATCCTTTTGGTCTTAGCTATTTGATCCTCTACCTCACTCGCATGTTATAATCCTATCCCTCATATATTCCTCCCCTCTTCCATTCCCTTTCCAGTAAGATGTTCTCTGTCTAGTGTCTTCCGCCCTTAAGATGTTCTACTCTCTTTATGAGGAATCTCTGGGATGTTGGAGGCTTTGTCACGCAGCTATGTTCCTGTCTTGGATGGACATTCCTCTAGCTCTCAGGTGCTGTAATATCTTCCCTAGTGTTTCTTTTCTCTCTCTCTGTCACCTGCTTCAGTTCTCTCTTAGGTGTTTCCTTCAGTCCCACATGATAGATCCTTTCAAGAGTTCAACTTTCTCCCTCTATTTCAGCTGGTGTTTACTTGTCTGTTTCTGGATGCAGCTATCTTCACCTCTGACAAATGTTTGTTCCTCTCGAGTGCTGTCGTGTTCCTTAGTCGTAAGATCTGCTCCAGGATGTTTTTGTCTTCCAAGAATATGTCACTGTCAAGTTCAATATCCCCCTCAGAAGTATATTTCCTGAACTGTATTTTCCCTCTCACAGGTGTTTTCTCCACTCTCAGATGTTTTCACCATTGATTTGCTTTCTTCCTCTAGTACCGTCTCTTAAAGGTGATCTCCTCTGTCTCTTTCAAATATTGGTTTCAAAGTTTGTATGTCTGTCTCTCCCTTATGTTTTCTCCCCTGTCTCTCACTCTCAGCTGTTGGTTGGCACCTCTCTGTGTCTCAGGTGTTGGAACAACTGTTTTTCTCTCTCTCTCTGATGCTGACTTCTCTGTTTTTCTCTGGTAATGATATCTCTGTACTTCAGGTGTTGGCACGAACGTGTTGCTCTCTGGTGCTGCCTATGCCTTCTGTCTCTTTCTTCCAGGTATTTATTGGCACCACCTTTTTTCTCGGGTGTGGGTAACAGGATTTCAGCTAGTGGTACGTCTGTATTTATTCCTCGGGTGATGGCACAATTCTCTCTCTCCCCCTCAGGTATTGGTACCTCTGGCTCAAAGTCATTAACAACACTAACTCTCTAAGAAGTGATTTTGTGTGTGTGTGTCAGGTGCTGGCTCCTGTGTCCTCCTCAGATGATGTCTCTCCTTTCTCTCTTTCAGGCAGTCTTTCCTCTCTCCAGCAGTTGATTCTCCTTTTCTCTCTTGCTCTCTCTCAGATTATGTCTTTCTTCTCGTGGGTGATACCTTTTCTCTTCCTTCTCCTTGCTTGCTATCAGGTAATGTAACTCTATGGTCTTATGATATCCATTCCCTCCACTATCTATTGTATGGTATCTGTCAATTCTTTGTTCTCAGGTGATAGCTCCTTCTGCTTCACGCTTTCAAGTGATATCAATTTCTCCTCCTTGCTCTCAGGTGGTTTGGTTCTGTGCTGTCCACTCTGACGGGTGACAGTGAGGAGCAAAAAGACCTATCAGATGATAAGTCTCTCTTCTCGCTCAGGTGATGTCTCTCACTTCCTCTCTTAGATGTCTCTCTTGGATAATATCTCTCTCCTCCTCAATCTCTCAGGTAATATCTATCCCTACCTCTGTTATTGCCTTTGTCCTTCTCCCTCTATCTCAGGTAATACCTTTCTACCCTGTGTCTCAGATAATCCTCCTCCTTCTCAAATAACTTTCCTCTCTCTCTCTTTCTGGTAATCTATCTTCCTCCCTCAGGTAATCCCTCTCTTAGGCAAATCTCTATTACACTACCTATTCCTTTCTCTCAGATAATCTCCCTCCTGTCCTCTTTCTCTCTCAGGTAATCCCTCTCTCACAGAGAAGTATTTTTCTTTTTCACTCTCAGTTAATATATCTCTTGTAAATCCGTACTTTCCTGCCTCTCTCTTAGGTATATTCCTGTCTATCTATCTCTGTCCTTGTGGTAAATCTCTACATCCGTCTACCTCTGTGAGGTAAATCTCCAAGTCCTATCTCCTCTCTCAGTCAAATATCTATGCCCCTCTCCCTCTCTCAGCTAAATCTCCATAATCTTTCCCCACCCTCTGGGAAATCCTATGACTCTTCCCACTCTCAAGTAAATCTCAAATCCTGTCTCCTCAAATTAATCTCAATCTTTCTCTCTCTCTCTTCATAGGTAAATCTATATCTCTCCCCACCTCAGGTAATCTCTCTTTCTTCTGCTCTGACAGGTAATTCTTCTCTGACATAAATCTCTCCGTCCCTTTTACAAAGGTAATCCCTCACTTTTACTAAATACCCCTCTTTCAGGCAGTCCTACTCCCTCTCTCAGATAAATTGCACAATCTCTCTCTCAGATAAATTTTAGAGTCATAGAGTTTGCCATATCTTTCTCAGTTAAATCGCAACCCCTGACTATCTCAGATTAATCATTCTGTCTCTCGCAGATGAATCAATTCCCACTCTCTCTATCAGATGAATCAATCCCCACTCTCTTTATCAGATGAAGCTCCCCTTCTCACAGATAAAACTCCTCATAAAATTTCTCTCGCAGCTCAATCTTTGTATCAGGTAAACCTCCCTGTCTCAGGCAAATCTCTCTTTCAGGTAAAAGACCTTCAAGCTCTCTCTGGACAATCTCACTCTCAGGTAACGCTCCCTGTCCCTCCAACAGGTAAATCACAACCGTCTCTCTCAGATAAACCACTCCCTCTCTTTCAAGTCAAACTCCCTGTTCCTCTCTCAGGAAAATCATTCCCTTCCTCTTTCTCTCTTACAGGTTCATCTCCTTCAAGTAAATCTCTCCTTCAGGTAAATCGTTCTCTCAGATAAATTTCTCACAGTTAAATCTCACTCAGATAAATATCACGCTTTCTCTAGGTAAATCTCTCCTTCAGGTAAATCAGACTCTCCCTCAAGTAAATCTCTCGCAGGTAAATCTTACTCCTTCAGATAAATCTCCCTCGCACAGATAAGTCAAGTCTCCCTGCCACAGGTAACTCTCTCTCTCCCACAGGTAATTCTCCCTCTCACAGGTAAGTCTCCCTCCTTCAGGTAAATCTGCCTCTCACAGGTAAGTCTCCCTCCCACAAGTAAGGCTCCCTCGTTCAGGTAAATCTGCCTCCTTCAGGTAAGTCTGCCTCCTTCAGGTAAATCTCCCTCTCACAGGTAAATCTCCCTCCCACAGGTAAGTCTCCCTCCTTCAGGTAAATTTCTCTCCCACAGGTAAGTCTCCCTCCCACAGGTAAACCTCTCTCCCACAGGTAAGTCTCCCTAACACAGGTAAATCTCTCTCCCACAGGTAAGTCTCCCTAACACAGGTAAATCTCTCTCCCACAGGTAAATTTCCCTCCCACAGGTAAGTCTCCCTCCCACAGGTAAGTCTCTCCCACAGGTAAGT